CTATCAACTGGTGTACAGATTCCTGAGCCTACTGGGCTCTATCATATCTACATTTGAAACTGTGTATGGAGTCAGCCTCCACCACATCACTTCCTAGTGCATTTCATTTATTAACTACTCTGACACTGAAAAAATTCTTTCTAACGTCTCTGTGGCTCATCTGGGTACTAAGTTTCCACCTGTGTCCCCTTGTTCGTGTCCCACCCGTGCTGAAGAGTTTGTCTTTGTCCACCCTGTCAATTCCCCTGAGAATTTTGTAGGTGGTTATCATGTCTCCCCTTACTCTTCTGTTTTCCAGGGATGTGAGGTTCAGCTCCTTTAGCCTTTCCTCGTAGCTCAATCCTCTCAGTTCCGGGACGAGCCTGGTGGCATACCGCTGAATCTTCTCTAACTTTGTCTTGTGTTTAATTAGGTATGGACTCCAGGCTGGAGCTGCATATTTCCAGGATTGGTCTTACATAAGTGGTATACAGGGTTCTGAAAGATTCCTTACACAAGTTTCTAAAGGCAGTTCTTATGTTGGCCAGTCTAGCATATGCCGCTGATGATATTCTTTTGATGTGGGCCTCTGGGGACAGGTTCGGTGTGATATCAACCCCCAGGTCTTTCTCTCTATTTGACTCTTGCAGGATTTCACCTCCCAGATGATACCTTGTGTTCAGCCTCCTGCTCCCTTCGCCTAATTTCATCACCTTACACTTTCCCGAGTTGAACTTTAGCAGCCATTTTCTAGACCATTCCTCCAGTTTATCCAGGTCATCCTGTAGTCTATCTTCATCCGTCTTGATTCTTCTCATAATTTTTGCATCATCAGCAAACATTGAGAGGAATGAGTCTATACCCTCCGGAAGATCGTTCACATATATTAGAAACAGGATGGGTCTAAGTACTGAGCCCTGTGGGACTCCGCTGGTGACATCTCACCACTCTGATGTCTCCCCCCCTCACCATTACTCGCTGTTTCCTGTTGCTTAAGTACTCCCTTATCCACTGGAGCACCTTTCCTTTTACTCCTGCCTGTTGCTCCAACTTTTTTAACAGCCTTTTATGGGGTACTGTGTCAAAGGCTTTTTGGCAATCCAGGAAAATGCAGTCGGCCCACCCTTCTCTTTCATGCCTAATTTTTGTTGCCTGGTCATAAAATTCTATTAAACCTGTGAGGCACGATTTACCATCCCTGAACCCATGTTGGTGGTGCATTACAAAGTTATTTCCCTCCAGATGCTCTACGAGCCTTTTCCTCATGATCTTCTCCATCACCTTGCATGGTATACAAGTTAAGGAAACTGGCCTGTAATTCAGTGCCTCTTGCCTGTCACCCTTTTTGTATATACTGTATTGGGACCACGTTAGCTGTCTTCCAACTTTCTGGTAAGTCTCCTGTTTCCAGTGACCTGTTATACACCACAGAGAGTGGCACACTTAGTGCTTCTGCACCTTCCTTTAGTATCCATGGTGAGATTCTGTCAGGCCCAACAGCCTTTGTCACATCCAGCTCCAGTAGACACCTTTTGACCTCATCACTGGTGAGGTCAAATTCCTCCAAGGTTGCTTGGTTTGCCGCCTCCTCATTTAGTGCAGGGGCTTCTCCTTGTTCTATTGTGAAGACCTCCTGGAGTCTCTTGTTGAGTTCTTCACACACCTCCTTGTCATTCTCTGTGTATCTGTTCTACGCTTTTCGCAGCTTCATCACTTGTTCCTTCACTGCTGTTTTCCTCCTGATGTGGCTGTGGAGCAGCTTTGGTTGGGTCTTGGCTTTACTCACGATGTCATTTTCAAACTGTCTCTCTGCTTCCCTCCTCACTCTGAGGTACTCATTTCTGGCCCTCTGGTATCTCTCCCTGCTCTCTGGTGTTCTGGTATTTCTGTAGTTTCTCCATGTTCTTTTACTCAGTTGCTTCGCTACCTTGTATTCCTGGTTGAACCATAGGTTTTTCTGTTGTTTTTCGTTTTTCTCCTTTTGGACGGGGATAAACCTGTCTGCAGCTTCCTGGCACTTCTGGGTGACAAATCCATCATGACCTGCACATTCTTATCTCTAAGTTCTGTTTCCCATGGTATTCCCCTGAGGAAGCTCCTCATCTCGTCATATTTTCCTCTTTGGTAATTCAGTCTTTTTCCCTCTACTCCCATCCTTGGATAGGTTATCCCTACCTCCACCAAGTACTCAAAGGTCAGTACACTGTGGCCACTCATTCCTATGGGGGCTTCAACTTTGACTTTCCTTATTTCTGACTCATTCAGGGTGAATATCAAGTCGAGTCTAGCTGGTTCATCATTGCCTCTCACTCTTGTGGGTTCCTTGACATGCTGGCTCAGAAAATTCCATGTTGCCACTTCCAAGAGTTTAGCTCTCTACGTATCTGCACCACCATGTGGGTTCCCATTCTCCCAGTCAATCTTTCCATGGTTGAAATCGCCCATGATTAAGAGTCTGGAGCCATTCCTGCAGGCAACGGAAGCTGCTCTCTCTATTATATTAATGGTTGCCATGTTGTTCCTATCAAACTCCTGTCTAGGTCTTCTGTCATTTAGGGGAGGGTTGTAAATGACTGCCACTATTATCTTAGGTCAACCCATTGTTATAGTTCCTGTTATGTAATCTCTGAATCCGTCACAGCCCGGAATTTCCATCTCATCAAAACTCCAGTCCTTCCTTATCATCAGGGCCACTCCTCCACCTCCTCTCCCTTCCCTCTCTTTCCTTACTATATAGTAGTCCTTTGGAAACACAGCATCTGTTATGACTCCTGACAATTATGTAGTAGTAGCTAGCTTGTGTAGCTATGTCTTTGTGCCTTTACTCACCATACAAGATTAGATGAACAGTTATGGTGAACAAAACATGTAAATACTTATATATAACGTCTGTATATAAAAGCAAAACAGAATGGTGGGAGGAGAATGGTGGCAAGTCAGGTGAGGTGAGGGAGGGAGTGGCAGCCAGTGGTGGGCTGCCACTGCCACTCTGCATACCAACTTAGTGGTTCGTTATGGTGAACACGAATGTAGATACTTATATATAGCGTCTGTATATAGTGAATAAAAGCAAAAACAGTATTGTGGGAGGAGAATGTGGGTGAGTCAGGTGACTTGAGGTAGGGAGAAAGTAGCAGCCAGTGGCGGGCTGCCACTGGCACTGCCACTCAGCATGCCAACTTAGTGGTTCATTATGATGAACACGAATGTAGATACTATATATAACATCTGTATATAGTGAATAAAAGCAAAAAACAGTATAATGGGAGGAGAGTGTGGGCGAGTGAGGTGTTGAAGGAGGGAGTGAGTGGCTGGCTGGTGTGTGGTGGTCACTCCTCGTTACTTTTTGACTCATAATAGCAACTTAGTGGTTCGTTATGGTGAACAAAACATGCAGATACTTATATACAACCTGTGCATACAGTGTAATAACCTACAAAGTATTTATTCAATGTTTGATGAACATAATTGAATCAACAATATGCACACCATATTTTGAGTACAGCGATGATTCACTCATTTTATTATATAAATATATCACACTACACACTATTGAATAATATTAAAGCAAAAAAACTACGAAAAATCAATCAAAGACATTGAAATAATTAGGTAATTATCTCTTTGTGGCAACTCCGGCCTGACAGCTGGCGAGCAACAGACCGCCTGGGACGCACGCTGAGTCAGCGCCTGTTTTTTGCCAGACTTTCCCACTCAATAGCGGGCAATATATGCCACTTACGATTTTTTTATTATTTTTCCCATGATCAGTGAACACAAATTAACAGGTTAGGAAGAATTTTTTTTTTTTTTTTGTATGCGCCTGTGGGTGTCAAACGGTATATAGCCATGCGCTGGTTAAGGGTTAAGTTGCTCAGGTTTCCCTGGTTTTCAGTGCCAAAATCGTGTGTATTAGGTTGTCTGCAGTTTCTTTCAGTCTAGCCAGCCTCCAGTCTACCCTCGTGCCCATGCTTTTTTGGATGTGTGCCTCTTTGTTGTTTGTGCCTATGTGCCTATGAGTTTTGGGGATCAGTCAAGGTCCTGGCCTCTGGATGTCTTGTGACCGTCCTGGAAGCCCTCTGCTGCTTTGTGTTGCTTTGAGGCTTCTATAGCGGGCGGCTGCATTTGTTGGGTTGTGCTCTGTGGGGCTTCCACCTCCCAGGTTCTTTCCTGTTTTCCTTTTCTGTGTCGGTGGGTAATTGGCTTCAGGGAGCTGATGGGGCTTCCCCCAGAAAACCAGTGTTGAATGTAATTAAATGGCAGTTTCTGGGTGAGCCCTGGAGGCTCCCTGACACCCTCTGGTCAGTGGTTTTCATCATTCAAAGAACTGGAGGTTGGTGGTCAGACCTACTCAGGTCGGCTCCTCCTCCCTCTGCGGGTGGGTGGAGCTAACGAGCGAAGAGTTAGTTGGACGACGTTTTGCTTGTTTGTTTGTTTCTTGGGGGAGTTCGTTTGTGTTTGTGAAGATGTAGATTGCAGTTTTTAACCTGACAGTGGTCTGTTTTGAGTCGTCTACCTTTCTGGGATTTCCCGGGTTGATGGCAAGATGACCTACATTAAATATAAAGTGCTCATGGCCGTTCCTCCTTTCGCCTCTCTGAGGTGGCCAATTTCTGGCTGATGTTCCCCAGTAGGCTTACAAAGAACTCTGCAACTGATGCCACTCAAGGAGAAGGCAATTGATTAGTAAGATTGCTTCAGGGAGCCTCCAGGGCTCACTCAGGAACTGGCATTTCATTACATTCAATGGTGGTTTTTTACTACCTCTAATTCCCAGAAAGGAAACAAATGCTTACAGGATTTTTTCCAATATGACAAATAATTTGCCAGAGGTGTCCATTGATGACTGATGTCCACATGGAATCTTCAGGACTTTTCATTATTACGAGGCACATTAAATCTCCCATAATTGATAAACGCACTGGCCTTGATCGCTTGAGAGCTATAGGAGCAGTTAGAGGGTTAAAAGTTTATTATTAGTTTTAATAAAAGTTTATTAAAACATTATTACTTTACTATACCTGATTGCGTGTGTCATGGAGTTCCTGCAAAAGAGTGGCAGAAGTATCTTGCTCCTTTTTCAGCTGATCATGTAATTTCTGAGCATCTGCTTCAGTAAGAATTCCTCCAATCCCTTCTGTAATGATATATTAATTTTTAATTAAAAAATAAATAACAGTCTACTATAATTATACTTAAATGTAATACATCTGCCAACTTGCCAATATTGAATTTGTTTACGGTTAGCACCCTATGATGATGTGAATAGTTAAAGTGCAGAGCAGAACTTGGGGCAACTCACAGGTGTGTTCTCCTATGAAAATTTGAGCAAAATAAATAGAGAAGTTGATTAGCACTGACTTGTGACAGTATTTTAATATTCAACCATTGACAATAAAGTATATCTTAATATATAGCCATTTACCATACAGTGCAATCTTGAAAATCTTGAATGATTATTTCAATATAATATTCCATATTGTGATGGGACATGGGAAGCCGAAAACCTCTGTAAGGACTGGACCGAAGAACCCACGGGATCACGGAACCGAACCCGGGGAGGGGTAGACGCCAAATCCAACTTGTATGAGAAGGAAGTGAAAGAGAACCCCCCTCTCCTCGTAACACCAAGCCCCGCTCCGAGGGGTATGAAAACATAGGCGGGGTCCAATGGGGCCCAAGGCCCCCAAGTCAACCCTCCCCCACCCTGGGAGCCTCACCCTGAGGACCCGGAGCCGAGTCGGCCTCCAAACCCCCCGCTTCTAAAGAAAAGGCGGGAGCCGCCGAAAAAGCAGGACCAAAGGGGACCCACTGGTCAGACCCAGAAGCTCCGGCTGGAGGACTAGGCTTGAATGCCTAAGCCACAATCCCAGAATGGGACTCCCCCAAGACCGCCTGAGTTTCAACACCAACTAGACCCTTTTCCGACTTTGAAAACTCTGACGTTTCATAGCTGGAAGCAAGGGGGTAAGGAACCAGACGCACAACAGAAGGGAAAGGACTAGGAGGGGCGGACGGAACCAGAGCCAAAGTGACTCCCACCCCCAAGTCTGGGTCCTTATAACCAAAATAGGGCAGTCTCGGGGCATCCAGGGCCGCCACCAACCTAGCACGTTGCAACAACCTAAACCTAGCATGCAACTCAGCAGCTGCCTGCACCCTCATATCATGTTCAGTAGCTTGGGTGAACTGGAGGACGTACAGACAACAAACATCGCACGACTCCAGGTCAAAAGAATCACCGACCCAACAGGCAGCATGGTGGAGGCACAACCGGCGAGTGTCACCCTGAGACAAGGGGACAGAGCAACCTTCAATCTCGCAGGAAGCGAGAGGGGACTCAAGGGTCACATCCATCGTACCTTGGAATCCCCTACAGGGTTTTCCAGGGGCCCTTAGCCTTGGTATCATGCTAAGGAAAGCCCAGTCAGGGTACTACAAACCGGTACCCAGGTCTACCAAATTAACTTCTAAATGCTGAACCCTTGGGACGTGTCCACTCACGGGGACCTAGCGAGGGATACCACCAAAACACAGAAGAAAATACACCGACCCCAACAACTGAGAGGGGGAGGACAAGGCAGACCCCCCTCCACCAGGCAGGAAAACAAAAACAGAAGCAAAAACACCGCAAGAGGACAACGTACCCAAGCGCAACAGACCTGGCTGCTATAATAGGTGATAACTAGCTGTGCAGTACCCCGCGTCCCTACCAGTAACGAAAACTACTTCCTACTCAGAGACAAACAAGGGCAACAAAACCCCAGCTGACGCCAAGGGCAGCCAAGTATCGAGCATTAAAAGACACAGTGGAGGTAGATCCCAAGGTGACTTGTGGAAGGAGGCCCCAAGCCCCAAGGGCAGTACTTATAGAGCACCTAGAGAAGGAAACCCTAGGCGCATGCAGCCCGAGTACCAAGGAAAATTTCTCCTGGGTCACACACCACACGGCACAGAACTGAGACAAAAAACCGGAGGCAGAGACACACGACTTCTCCAGAATCGTATCAGCCAAGATCTGCCGGTTGGATCACCGGCACACAGGGTCTGGGGCTCCCACTTCTCCCTCCTGGGGAAGGGATGGGGGGGGGTTACGCAGATGGCGGCGCGCGGCGACGTCATGCCACCTTACCTTAAGGTTACTTTGAGGTGATTTTCGGGCTCACGACCCCGCAGCCCGGTCATCGACCAGGCGTCCTCGTTGCTGGACTGGTCAACCAGGCTGTTGGACGCGGCTGCTCGCAGCCTGACATACGAGTCACAGCCTGGTGATCAGGTGTCCTTGGAGGAGTTGTCACGTTCTCTCTTGAACACTGTGAGGGTGTCGGCCAGTTATGCCCCTTATGTGTAGCGGAAGCGTGTTGAACAGTCTCGGGCCTCTGATGTTGATAGAGTTCTCTCTCAGAGTACCTGTTGCACCTCTGCTCTTCAACGGGGGTATTCTGCACATCCTGCCATGCCTTTTGGTCTCGTGTAATTACCTAAGTGTAGTTACAGGATGAGAGCTACTCTCGTGGTGTCCCGTCTACCCAGCACTCTTTTTACCTAACTTGTTCCAACCATCTACACTCTGTTTACAAAAGTGAATTTCTTATATTTCTCCTGCAGCTCTGTTTCGTTAGTTTAAATCTATGACCTCTTGTTCTTGATGTTCCAGGTCTCAGGAATTCGTCTTATCAATTCTATCTCATTCGGTTGAGATAATTTTTCACATATAACTCCCACATAGCGTTCCACGACTCCGGCCGCACTCGGCTCTCTGCTCTGCTCCAAGCTCTGTCTCAACGTCTACGACACTGCTGTATCCAGGACTACTATACTAAATAAATATGAAACTCACTAAACACTGTGTATCTAATCTACCCAACAACATAACATAATCGTATGTTACATTGGTAACATATTATTACTAACTGTTATTAACTATTAACTATTACTAACTGTTATTAAGTAACTGTTATTTCTGGTGTAAGTTTGGGACCAGCCCCTCTACTTTTTTCCATGTGTAAATTATTATGTATCTCTCCCGCTTGCGCTCAAGAGAATACAGATTTAGGCTCTTCAGTCGATCCCAGTAGTTTAGATGTTTTACTGAGTGAATTCTAGCAGTAAAGGATCTCTGTATGCTCTCCAGGTCAGCAATTTCTACAGCTTTGAAAGAGGCTGTCATTGTGCAGCAGTATTCCACTCTAAAGAGCACTAGCGTCTTAAAAAGTATCATCATCGGTATAACATCTCTAGTGTGAAAGGTTCTTGTTATCTAACCTGTCATTTTTAAGGGGCCTCAGTATTGAGTGAGCTACCAAGCCTGAAGCATGCAGCATGAGCTCACAGCACTGTTGTTCAGCTTGTGACCACATCATCGCTTAAAAATGCCATAATATACTTGTTCATGCTATTATGTAGTGATGATATTATTACAGAAGACCCCTGACTGTGATAAAACTGACCAGGGTTCTGATAATAGCAGGATTGTGGTGATATTTAGCACTGTGCTCCATGGAGGGAGGAGTAATGCTGTGGGAGGGAGGGTGGTGGCGTTGTCTTCTGACTGTGTGTGGCCACCTTTTATTGACTGCACTCACCATACCAGCGTAGTGGTTCGCTATGGTGAACACAAATGTAGATACTTATATATAATGTGTGTACAGAGGGTATAAAACAGGAAGAGGAGTAGGTTGGGAGCCGCCATTTTGGTGAGGGTGGTGGCGTCGTCTGCATGACTTATCATGTTGTTTACTGGTGACCACTATGGTCGTTGGACACCATACCAGTTTACTTGTACAAGTATGGTGAATAAAAGTTTACTTGTATAAGTATGGTGAATAAAACAGGTAGATATTTATATATAATGTGTGTATATAGCATAATAACACCACAAACAGTATTGTTGGAGGAGAAATATTAACGCGCCTGGCCTTGAGGGCGGCAGCCACCAGCTGACTGTGTGTACTCACCTAATTGTGCTTGCGGGGGTTGAGCTTTGGCTCTTTGGTCTCGCCTCTCAACTGTCTATCAACTGGTGTACAGATTCCTGAGCCTACTGGGCTCTATCATATCTACATTTGAAACTGTGTATGGAGTCAGCCTCCACCACATCACTTCCTAGTGCATTTCATTTATTAACTACTCTGACACTGAAAAAATTCTTTCTAACGTCTCTGTGGCTCATCTGGGTACTAAGTTTCCACCTGTGTCCCCTTGTTCGTGTCCCACCGTGCTGAAGAGTTTGTCTTTGTCCACCCTGTCAATTCCCCTGAGAATTTTGTAGGTGGTTATCATGTCTCCCCTTACTCTTCTGTTTTCCAGGGATGTGAGGTTCAGCTCCTTTAGCCTTTCCTCGTAGCTCAATCCTCTCAGTTCCGGGACGAGCCTGGTGGCATACCGCTGAATCTTCTCTAACTTTGTCTTGTGTTTAATTAGGTATGGACTCCAGGCTGGAGCTGCATATTTCCAGGATTGGTCTTACATAAGTGGTATACAGGGTTCTGAAAGATTCCTTACACAAGTTTCTAAAGGCAGTTCTTATGTTGGCCAGTCTAGCATATGCCGCTGATGATATTCTTTTGATGTGGGCCTCTGGGGACAGGTTCGGTGTGATATCAACCCCCAGGTCTTTCTCTCTATTTGACTCTTGCAGGATTTCACCTCCCAGATGATACCTTGTGTTCAGCCTCCTGCTCCCTTCGCCTAATTTCATCACCTTACACTTTCCCGAGTTGAACTTTAGCAGCCATTTTCTAGACCATTCCTCCAGTTTATCCAGGTCATCCTGTAGTCTCTGTTTATCTTCATCCGTCTTGATTCTTCTCATAATTTTTGCATCATCAGCAAACATTGAGAGGAATGAGTCTATACCCTCCGGAAGATCGTTCACATATATTAGAAACAGGATGGGTCTAAGTACTGAGCCCTGTGGGACTCCGCTGGTGACATCTCACCACTCTGATGTCTCCCCCCCTCACCATTACTCGCTGTTTCCTGTTGCTTAAGTACTCCCTTATCCACTGGAGCACCTTTCCTTTTACTCCTGCCTGTTGCTCCAACTTTTTTAACAGCCTTTTATGGGGTACTGTGTCAAAGGCTTTTTGGCAATCCAGGAAAATGCAGTTGGCCCACCCTTTTCTTTCCTGCCTAATTGTTGTTG